ATGAATATTCGTAGAATATTGTATATTCATTCGAAATGATAGGAGGAATATACATAAAATATACCTCTTGTACATTCTATGAATGTTCAACTAATGCAGCAAGATATGCACGATAATACTGAGTAAAACTATAGCTATTTATTATCCCTACGTGTAATTTTGCGGCTATTTAATTATTTAATGAAGAAATAAATAATGATAAAAATATATTTTTTATTGCGAGTTTATCAAACTGGTCCATCTGTTAGTTTGTAAGCTGGAACTCAGAAAGCATTTTGACATCCAATGTATATACATTGCATGTACAGCGCGTTGCATTTGCACATACCTATGTGATATCCAATGTATATCGTTGATGTATGTTCATAGGATATGTCATACACTGATGTATATGCAATGTATATACATTGGATGTCAAAATGCTATCTGGGTAACAAGAGTGGCTGTTCTTGGTTCACGCAAGACTCTCCGCCAAGAGTCTTGCGTTTAAGCCCCGCCACCGCGTCAAGGTGACAGCCACGTCGGCAGGGAGGAAGGGTAGGAAGGGTCAAGATTGATGGATGGAAGAAAGACAAGGTGAATAATTCAATAAACATAAGACTGTCTGAATATATATATTTATTTATTGGATTAATATTGGTTACGATTAATTAAAATACAGTAGTTGGGACGTTGCGTCATTTCACTCCTTTCTGAAAAAAGAAAATTATTTTACATTGGTTGCACGATGAGAAAAAGAAAATAATTAACAAATAAATGTTTACCTTGGACGTTTGACGCCGTCCTGGACATCGTCGTCGTCGTCGTCGTCGTCGTCCAGTTCTTTTTGCTCCTCTCTGAAAAAAGAAAAATATTTTAATTGGTTGCACGATGAGAAAAAGCAAATAATTAACAAATAAATGTTTACCTTGGACGTTTGACGCCGTCCTGGACATCGTCGTCGTCCAGTTCCTCGTGCTCCTCTCTGAAAAAAGAAAAATATTTTACATTGGTTGCGCGATGAGAAAAAGAAAATAATGAACAAGTAAATGTTTACCTTGCACTTTTGTCCACGTTTTCCTCGTCGTCGTCGTCGTCGTCGTCGTCGTCGTTGTCCACGCCGTCGTCCACGTCAAAGCTGTCCACGTCAAAGTTGTCCATGTCAAAGTTGTCCACGTCAAAGTTGTCCACGTCCAAGTTGTCCACGTCAAAGTTGTCCACGTCCAAGTTGTCCACGTCCAAGTTGTCGAGGTCGCCCAAATTACTTAATGCGTCGACGTCCACGGTCGACGCGGTGTCATCGTTGGACTCGGCGACGTCATGGGAATTAGTTCGTAATCCTCCGTCTCTGAAATAAAAGGCAGATGTACATTATTCGACGCGACGATGGTACTTTTGCGTACAAACATACTCACGTCCACTCTATTTCTTTCGACTCCTCCAGGTCCCTCTCGTCAAATTTGTGCGGCCTTGACATGATCCTTAACTGCAACATAAAAATGGTATACTGGTTACAATAGATTTACATGCCGCAAAGCCATACAGCACGCGTGTCTATGAGTCGTCTTTCAGACACACGTATCTAAAAGACGACTCGAGACAAATTAAATGTGTCTTCTCGACATGCATATTGAGAAGAAAGCATAAGAAACGTAGCCATGTATGTACTTTTTGTTATTCTCCTAATAATGTATCGATGTATCTGTGATATAATTGAGAGAAACAAATAGACGGTAATAGTCTACAGCTCCTCTAAAATATATCGGTAAAACATTTAATACATCTATCGCCTAATAAAGATTACAAGGAAAATGAAATTCAATTATTATGAGAATAACAAGACGTACGTAGCTACTCGAAATACATATTTGCAGTCCGTTGTTATATTTCGGATCGGATCTCGAGCTCTTTTTTTGACACATGACACAGAGCCGTACTAACCTCTTTAGACAACACACTCGACAGGATGGAGACGGATGGAAATTGACTATATTTTCGAGTAGAGTTTGTTCCGCGATTGAAACTTTGGCCACGGTCAATGATATCTTTACACGATTGGCTGCATCTACGAGTATTAACCAATCGTACCAAGCGCGACCCATAGGTGGCGACGTGCGCACGTTCCGTGTGTACGCGGTTCCAACTACGACACAGAGTCAGGTGACAGCGATCCAATTGTTCGAGAGACCCCCGAGAGAGTAGAGGTAAGAGAGATAATATTGGTCGCGATAAATAGTATTATTACAATTGCCAGATACGGTCGTTGACGTGTCGTCGATTCAACAAGTTGTCATCTATTTCAGATTGAAATGGCGTGCTACAGCGTCGACCAAATTAGGAACAACCCATGGCTGTCGATCCAGGACGTGGTTGGCGACGCCAAGACGTGGCCCCAATTCATACGTACTATGTTTTGGGACCGCAACTTTGTGGACCACAACAGGATGGTCGTGGTCAATTTTGCGATCCTGAACCACGTGTCGGAACCTTTTTTGCACGAGGTTCTAGAGTTCACATTAAAAACTGCGTACACGTCGGACAGGCGAAGGCAGATAACGGATAGATTCCGTTATTACAACCACGAGGTAAATGTTGAAATTGTTATGGATAACGACATCCGCTGACTCGATCGACGAGTTGTTTAATCGTTGCGTGCCTTTGCAGGAATTGGGCGAGATGCGACGTAGCCGTGCGTATAGCTACAACGTGCACTGTAAGTGCATGTTCAACCTCAATTTTGGTCCAGTGGATCCGTCAGTAAGACGAAGAGAGTGAATGTTGGAAACATACTATACAGTGAGACACATGTATGATACAATAAAAATGAAAATATACCTCGTACGTGTCCGTTATTCGGCAGCTCTCTCTCTCTCCTTCTTGGTCCGTACTCCTGTACTCTCCTGATTGGTAGTCTGAAATATTGGAAACATTATTAGCAAGTAAATATTGATCCGTCGATCCTATGACGTTAAATACAAATTCTTATAAACATAAGGCTTGTTTTCTATTGCTGCACTGGTCAACTAGTGCAGTAAGGTAGAATGAGAAAAATCTACTTGTCCTACTCAAACTTATTGCACTAGTTGACCAGTGTAGCAACAGAAAACAAGCCTATAGTATCGTAGCAACATTGTATATATAGGATAGAAAAGCTCGTGTACTTGGATAAATGAGATATGAAACGAAAGAAATGTATAGCTTTTTACTGGCAAAGAAATATAGATGGAGAGATATTAAAGATTATCGTGAAATATAAGAATAGACTGTTAAGGAGCCTTGACGAGCGAGCAACCGAATGAAATGCCAAGTATGCTTTTCTGTACAGCAGAGAATACAGTGTATGATTAGAATATACCCTAGTAGCACAGTGCATTGGCCAAACATTGGCCAAATACAACCAAATATTGGGCCAATGTTTATCCAATGCACTGTGCTACTAGGGTAAATGTTTGATACTAGATGGATTTTGGTGTAAAGCAGAGAATACAGTATGATTTTGATACAAAATGTTTTATACTCTATACATATATCTGTAAAGCAGATAATTCAGTGTATGATTAGAATATAAATGTTACATACTAGTATGATTTAGAGAAGAAACGTTTAATACTCGATACATGTTTCTGTAAAGCAGATAA